TTTTTGGTTTTTCGGTTGGTCGAACCGATCGAATAACCGATGATTTTATTTTAATTTATTTTTTATTTTTAAAAATAAGAAAATATTTGATTAACACACATGCTTTCTTTTTACTCTTTCATGGAAAACTTTAATGTTTCACTTTTAAAAAATTTACTCCGTATTAGTTAATGTTTTGAACATATTAACAAGAAAAGTGCAATTTTTATATGAAATGGATAGTGTATATTCAAATAAAAATTAATTTATCTTACTAAATCAATGACAATAGAAAAGTCTTAATCTAAACTAATTTAATACATATCAATCTACCTTGCCAAATTAGTTTCTTGAATTTATATTTAAAAATCAAAATAAAAGTAATTAGAATTCCGTTTTTCAGTCGGTTTTTTTGATGTATGGACGGTTTTCGGTTTCAATTCGGTCGGTTTTAATTTATGGTCGGTTCTGTCGGTTTTCAATCATGTTAAAAAAATTCAATTTTTTCGGTTTCAAACCGAAACTGACCGTTGCTATGCCATAATAACAAAGTTTTTTTTTCATATTCAATCTCATATTATCAAATATTACCTTTGTCGTCCTTTTATGGGCATTTTTTCACAAATAATCTCTTTTTTATTGTCTGTCATGTTAGTTTAATTTTAAGGGCTAAAAATATAATTTGACATTAACATTATGTCCAGTGACGTATTCCGACACCAGTTAGACGAACATATCAAAAGTGATTATGAATGTGGATTAGGATTCTGACAAAAAACCTCATCCGTAGACTATGACTGTAGTAGAAAGCGATTGGAATTAACAAACGATGCATCAGGAGCGGTCTCTTAAATTATACGGAGTATATGACAAAAAAGATTTATGATCAATGTGAATGTCAAGGGACCAACTCAACCAAAAGCTCAAGCTTGTGGTTGTGGCCCAAGAATGATTATTATATACTCTAACACGCCCCTCACGTGCAGGCGTGACCTCTTTGAGCCTTGCACGTGAAACCTTAATTTTTTTAAACTGGATGGCGGTGAGTTTCGAACTCGTGACCTCTTGGTCATCATACCATGTCAAGGAACCAACTCAACCAAAAACTCAAGCTTGTGATTGTGGCTCAGGAATGATTATTATATACTCTAACAGTGAAATTACACATTTAACCCTCAAATTGACACAAGGGATAAATACATGTGGTTTGAGGATAAGCTTCACAAACTTTATTTGTATCATGGTAGATCATCATGATGATTTTCAATAGAGAATTCACTTTTGTAACTCCTCCATTCCTAAATAATTTGCATACTTTATTATTCAAAAATCACCGGAATTTTGTTTGAAAACCCTCTTTGGCATTGCCTTATGAGTAGAGTAGGGTATTTCGTTTTCCTATTTTTGTATACAATGTATGAATCAAGTTCCCCAAGAGAGCAGAATTAGTCTTTCTACTTGAATGTACAATGAACCAGTCTCAATATACTTGTATATACCTTGTTCATTGTATAACCAGTATTGTATCCATCCACCTAAGCCACACCTATATTGAGCTTGATACTTGAGATATCAGAATTGAAGATTTGATAGACAAGTACTTCTAAAGATAACACACAAAAAGAAAAAGATGTACATATTGCACCCCAAAAACTCTATACACCTTTCCTGAAACAACATCCCTAACTGTTTTCTGAGGTTAAAAATGTAAATTCAATACATCCAACCATTACAATTCACAACTTTGTATTGGTAACCACAGAAGCTGGGCCGGACTTCAGCTTCTGGGCCATGGCAGCTTGATGGACCAGATCTTGGACTCTTGCAAATGCAACCAAGAACTCTGCAGCATCAGTTGGGCCCAACACCTTCTTAACAGTCATGTGGATCGCTTTCATCCTCAGATTTTGGGCCTTGATGAGGACCTGATGGACCTTTCTGAACTCAGTATAAACACAGGCCAAGGCCACTCCATTCTTGCTCTTCCCCTTCCCCTTATTCTTCTTCATAAGCCCAAATGGGAGATGGAAGATACAGTTGGACTGTATCTCGGCCATCTCCCCATCTATGACTGCCTCCTCGACCCGGAGCTCGTTGATCAGCAGGAGCAAAACGGTCTTTATAGGCCGGGAGTCGCGGAGGGTTGCCGGGAAGGCGGAGGAGGCATGGACTAGAGAGTGAAGGAGGCCCGGTATAGCGGAGGGCCTCCAATCGCCAAACCAATAGAGGGAAGCGAGCTCGCGGGGTGCGGCCCATTTGGGCATCAACAGTTGGGCTATGTCTTTGAGCTTGACAGAGATCTGGGCCTGATTGTATTGGGCCTGGAAACGGTTCAGCTGCTCATCAATCAGATCCTCAATTGACCATCTTGCCCTCAGCTGTTTCTCTAGTCTCCCTGCTCTCATCATCTGTTCATTCCTCCATAGCCCATATTGATCACCACAGTACTCTTCACCTGTTTTCAGTTGTAGTAATATATGCTTTCAGATTTAATTCCCAATCAACTAAAAATTTTAAAAACAACTTTTTTTCCAGCAAATCCTTTTCAAATTTCCAAGAAACTAAAATAAAAACTCATTCTTTTCAGCTTTTTGTAGAACTTTCAAAATTCCAAGAAACTATAATAAAAACTCATTCATTTCAGCATTTTCTTGAACATTCAAATCTCCAAGAAACTATAAGAAGAAACCATTCTTTTCAGCATTTTCTTGAACCTTCAAATCTCCAAGAAACTAAGATGAAAAAAAACCATTCTTTTTATACGGAGTATAATTTTTTTGCATTTTCTTGAACCTTCATTCTCAGAACACTCAACAACAATGTGAGAAACTCTTCTTCGCCTCATTGAGTTGGCAGAGATTTCATCTCCAAAGATGAAAAATAAAGAATAAAAATGCTGCGATTAGAAACTTTAATATCCAGGAAATCAAAACAAAAACCCATTCTTTTCTCTATTTTCTCAAGCAGACAGTTTCTTGAAAACAAAATTCATAAAAACCCATTCTTTAATTACCAAGAAATCCCATCACCCGATCAAAGTCAGTGGATTTTCAGGCCCCAAGAATGACAAAAGAGAGAAAAAATAAAGAAAAATGAACACTGAGAAACTTTAATCCCCAAGAAATTAACAAAGAAAAAACAAAGAACCGATCTTGCTATACAAAAGAGTTGCAGAAATCTTACATCTTTTGTAGGGCAGGCGTTTCTGAATGGCCATACAAGTCTTTGGCCCTGCAATGTCACTGGAGCAGTCTTCCTCTTCAACAAACTCATAACCCAAAGCTTTTCCTCTCTTCGTGAAAGTTGATCTGGGCTGTTTCCTGCAAGAATTCGTGTGATTTGTGTCAGAAATTCTTGGGAAATTTGAACCAGAGAATTCGAAGAAGAAGATAAAGAAGAAAAGAAAAAGAAAAGAATGGAGAGATTATATTACAGCAGCGGCTGAGATTGAGGCCTTCTCATTGTTAAGCTCATTCTTTCTTCTGACTCTGAGAAATGTGAAGATGATCGCTCGTAATGAACAGGTGTTATATGTATTTATAGGGAGAATTTTGATTTATGGAGTTAAAAAATGTTAAACAATAAAAAAATGCAGAGTACGTAGTTAAAATTGAAAAAGAAAACAATAGTTTTGGGTTAATGGTCTTTGCTTTATTAAGAAACTAATTAAATAATTTTTTTTATCATTAATTAAATAAAATTTAGATTAAATATTAAGACAAAAATAATTTTATTAAATTTATTTTGTAAAAAATTAGAACTGAGGAACAAACACTCTAGTATGTATGAGATATGAAGTTTATATTGTCATATTTCAAAAATTGAAATAAGGGGATTAATTGGGAAGGAACAAATTTGACATAGTATTATTTTGTATTTGGAATCATCATGATTTTTAATGAAATAGAATTTGGATATTTACAGAATACGAAAAAAGTATGAATTATTCAATCGTTTTTAAAAAAGGAAAGAAAAATTTTGGACAAATAAAATAGAAAAAGGAGGAATATACTCCTTCCCTCATGAAAAGGTTATTTGATAAACGACCCGGTTCCATGGCCACTGGAATCCAGTGGTCACGGAAGCCACTGCCCCCCTATGAAACTTCGTTCATAAAATTGATGATGCCTACCCCCCTAACCCCCCCGGTAAACCCCCCGCCAAGTCCCGACCCAAACTCATCACCCCACCTATGTCAATTGCACCTCGTAAGCATAATTAACTTTAAAGTCAAAAGTTTTGACTTTATGCTTACGAGGTGCAATTGACGTAGGTGGGGTGATGAGTTTGGGTCGGGACTTGGGGGGGTTAGAGGGTAGGAATCATCAATTTTATGAAAGGAGTTTCGTAGGGGGGCAGTGGCTTCCGTGGCCACTGGATTCCAGTGGCCATGGAACCGGGCCGTTTGATAAAATAAAAGTTTGTGTTTTATTGTAACACCTTGTTTTTAAATTCTTTTCTCAACTTTCATATACTCCTCCGTAATTTGAATTGAAAAATAAATTAGTCAAATTAAAGCATTGTCACAAATGAGATGGATTCTATTGTATATTGTGTCAAAAAATAAATGACAAAGTTGATCCATTTAGATATAGTGTTGGAGTTCCCACATTAGAAAATAAAGATGAGTATCACTTGCATATATTGAAGGGTGAAGCCCTACCTATCAGCTTAAGCTTTTGGGTTAGAATTGTGGATCCCGACTTTATATGCAAGTGGTTAATTTCACCCGACACTCTATCCGTTGTTATCGGCCCGCCGGAATTTTAACATGGTATCGGAGCAGGTCCGGTCCGGGTTTGATTGTTTCTGGTTGTTTAGATGTGGGTTTAGCAAAAATGAGCTACCCCGTCTGTGGTTTGGGTTGAGTTGGCTAAAAAGAGATTGAGATGCCACCGCCCGTTGTGTGGGCTAGCTATAAGAGATTGAGATGCTAGACCCGTTTGTCCAAGTGCTAACTAGGCCAGGCTAGTTACCACTTGCGGGAGAGTGTTGGAGTTCCCACATCAGAAAATAAAGATGAGTATCACTTGCATATATTGAAGGGTGAAGCCCTACCTATCAGCTTAAGCTTTTGAGTTAGAATTGTGGATCCCGACTTTATATGCAAGTGGTTAATTTCACCCGACACTCTATCCGTTGTTATCGGCCCGCCGGAATTTTAACATATAGGAACATTAAACATTTTATATGATGATTTAACTATACACACAAATGAATTCCAGTCTTCCACTGGTTTTAAAGCATCAAGAAAACAAGAAGCAGAAGAAATATTTGCAACTCAGAACACCTAAAAAGAGGAGGTGACAAATTCCCACTTGTTGATTCTCCCCACATATGTTCTTCCACTTTTCTCCCCACTTCAATCTCACTCTTCTTCTTCTTCCCACAATGCCCAATCCCAGAAATGGCCTCAAGATCGCCATCCCCAAGGGCATTTTCGTCATCATAACACAATCCTGAGTTGTTGGAGAGCCTCAATTTTCTCCTCATCCTCAGCACCATTTCCCTATTGAATGGTACCCTCCCACTCAACTCGTTGTTCTCTAGCCTTAGCTCGTTGAGGTTGTTCGCCTCGCCGAGGCTCTCTGGGACGGGACCGCTCAGTCGGTTCCCGTCCAGGTGGAGCACTCGGAGGCTGGTCAACTTTCCGAGCGATTCGGGGATGGGTCCCGCGAGATCCATGCTCGACATCGCTAGGATCGCCAACTCGTTCGACCCGTTGAAAATGGATTCTGGGACCGTAGAGGACACCGGGTTCCCGCTAAGAATCAGAGCTTGAAGAGAATTGAGGTTCTTGAGATTGCTTGGAAGGGGAGAGGTGAGGTTGTTGTAGCTCAAGTCCATTAGTATTATGTTCTTAAGGGAATCTATGGAATCTGGAACCGGTCCGGACAACCGGTTCCGGCTCAAATCCAATTTTATCAATGATTGACACTTTGTGACTCCTGTTGGGATTGGACCCACGAGGTGGTTTTGGTTTAGGTCTAGAGATTGTAGGAGCGGGAAGGTTAAATTGGGAATCGAACCGGTCAGCTTATTCTCGCTCAAGACCAATGATTTCAAACCGGTAAGTCGGTTTAGGTGAACCGGTATTGAACCGTTGAGGGTGTTTCCGTGGAGATCAAGAACTCTCAACCGGGTCAAGTTCCCGAGCTCGTTCGGAATCGGCCCAATGTGCCCGTTTTCCCTGAGGACGAGGGTTCGGATACTCGGCCCGAGCTCCCCCAGGAAAGGGGGGATAGGTTGGGGATTACCGGCGAAACACCGGTAGAAGAACAGGGTCCGGAGGTGCGGGAGCCGGGTGATCGCAGGCGAAATGAACGGGCGGCCGCCCCCGCCGTCGCAGGTCGGGAACGCCGTGTCGTCCGACAACGCGCCGAAGGACAACGAGACGACGTGGAGCACGCCGCCCGTGTCCGGCACGCACTCGATGCCGTGCCACCGGCCACGGCAGACGTCAGGAATCTCCGACGCCCAGCCGTTGCCGGTGGCCCTCATGATCTCGTGCACCGCCTCCTGCTCCCGGGGCTCGGTCCGTGCGCGGTCGCCGTTCGCGGAATGCGTCGCCTGCGGCGCATCCACCAACGCCGACGGCGCGCCGGAGTCGGAGACGATCACGGTGTAGGAGTGGACAAAGATGGGGAGGAATGTGAAGGGCAGCATCAGGAGGATTGTGGTTCGAACCGGGAAGAAGGAAAACTCCATTTTTAAACAGGGGAAAGATTTGTCGCTTATCAGTGGAGGGAATGGGATTTATATATACTTGGGCAACTGGGGAATTTAAGAGTTGAGGGAGGACGCTAATTATGAAGTCACGAGGATTGGGAGGGCATGTCGTAATTAATACTCCGTAAGTTTTTAATACTCCCTATTTATGTCACTCACGGGCTTTCGGCCTATCTTGTTGGAATAATAATAATAATAATAACAACAACAACAACAAGAACAACAATTTGGTTCCTATGACATTGGGAACCAATGTCATAAGATGACTCGGGAACGCTCCGGTACTCATAAAATTGACTGTTCTTATCCCTCCTAACCACCCGGTAAACCCCCCGCCCCGCCCCGACCCGAACAAACCCCCTCACCCCCTTCAATTGCACCCCACAAGTCGATTTTGACTATGTAATCAAAAATTGACTCCAAAGTCAAAATCGACTTGTAGAGTGCAATTGAAGGGGTGGGGGTGTGTTCGGGTTGGGGCGGGGTGCGGGGGGTTTACCGAAAGGTTAGGAGGGGTAAAAAACGTCAATTTTACGAATGGGGCACCAGAGCGCCCCTGGGTCAACCCATGACATTAGAAATCAATGTCATGAGAACCTTCCCCTAATAATAATACACCAAGGATCTTTTGATTCGAGTAAAAAATGGTTGGGCAATTTGAAACATCTAAGGTGCTACTTGGATAAATGAGTAATTTAAGCAAATCGAATTTGAATATATCACTTTTCTTCAAATAGAACCGATTTATTTTTTCAATGACGTTTGACAGTGAAAATTTTTAAAATGTGCCTTTGAAAATGTGAGTGCTTCGTAAAATGACAAACATCTAAAATGACTACAAAATGGATACTAATAATGTCCTCTGGAAATAGGTTATTCTACTAATATAACTTATGGTATTTGTTTGTAGAATCTACTAAAACTTCTACTCCAGGATTGGAGTAGTACTAGTATTTTAACACATGCCACGCACGGGGATTAAACGAAATTTTTATTGATTTTTTATTATCTTCAATGTAATATTTTAAAATGAGTATGAAAATATATGTAATGCGTTCTTTAACACGCTAGACATTAAAATCAAAGTAAAACAAATAATTTAGCATTTAGTAATTGGTTATGAAAATGCTTATATACAAATTCAAAAGCAAACACCTCAAAATCTTTAAAATTCATATTTTCTCTGAAAGCCTACGTGAAACATTGATATAAAGTTAACTATGAGTGAACTTCAACCTGGTGGAAAATCATCCAACAAATGATAATATTTGACATTGACTTTTATTCATAGCCATAATAACAAAATATAAAGCGTTCATCGTCAATTTGTCATATATCTTCTTCCGGTTTTCATTAATTGTAGATATATATATATATACTCCCTCGGTCCCGGAGTATTTGTCCACTTTTGACTTTTTCAGTCAAAAATAGTAAACTTTGACCCCAAATTCAACAAAAATGATACTACGCATTATATATTGATACAAAAATAGTTTTATTAGATTTATTATATAAAATATTTTCAAAATATTATTTTATCTAATTAATATATGATATATATTTTAATTAGTTATAGGTCATAGGTTTAAAAGGATTGACTAAAAAATCAAAAGTGGATAAATACTCCGGGACTGGAGTAGTATTGCTTAAGATCATATGACAATTTTTCTTTGTCATAGTTCAACTCCTCTATCAAGAAATTGTTTTAAAATCTATTAAGTGGATTGTCATCTAGAAATGACATACCACTAAACTCATATAAGGATCATCTATTTGAATTAAGTAACTTTTCAATCTGAATCAAACATAATTTTTTTAGATTTTCTGGAAAAATAATAAGTTCTACAGAAATGGTTAAAATGCAACTAAATCATTTCAACTCATATTTCAATTTTAGAGGTTTGCATATATACCTGCATGCATTTCATATTGATCTTTATATAAATAATAAAAAATTACATTTTTATAGAAATACCTTGATTATACATTATTCTTCATCACTTAAATAAAATCTTATCAATCAAGAGCTCTCATGATTTTTCCCAAACAACTTAAGAACGACTCATGGTATTTTTAGTAATAATGTAATTAACAACTTTCTTACCTGACTTCGAGATCCTAACTCATTATTCTCTTTTATATCTTCAATAAATTTGTTATCATTGGTTAATAACTCCAATACTTCACATGCATTCTCGAATGAGTTTTATAGTTTGTACTTCCCCGTTGAAGCGCAAAAAGTATTTTTAGTATAATTTTTCGTTTCCTATTGACACATATTGCAGTCGGCCTATATTACAAAAAAATTTAAACACGCGTACGCTAATTAGGATACTGTATAAAAAAGAAGCATGCATGAAAAATTTAAAGCAATGATATTAGAGTTTAATTACACATGCTTTTTAGAAAACCTCCAAACGATATTTCTGATTTTTAAAGATGTATGTTGAATTGTTAAAATAAAACAATAATCATAAAAATATGCACCTTTTTTTGTCATTTTTTGTTGAAGTATTCCATTTTTCCTTTCTCTTGCATTTCTAGTTGATCTCGTTTATCTTTCGTCAAATTAGTTTTTCATGTTTCAATTGTAATAGAAAAATTGGATGCTCCTACTAACAATACGTAAACGTAAAAAAGGAAGATAAAGTTTAAATACTTATTATGTCTTTTTTAATTACAATATTGATCCTCTTTGAACACGTATGTATTTATTTAAACTTAAGTGATGGTAATGGATGCAATGACACATATTTAAATGCACACACATATTTTAGTAAATATATTAGAAAATATATTTTTGAACATATTCTTACCATTTAGAATATGACAATTTTAGGTATGTATTCTATGATCCACTCCATTTATAATAAAGGCTAATTGGACATGTATTTTCTTATCATAAGTAAGTTATATTCTATAATAAATAATAATTATATAGCATCCTCAATATAATTATATTCTATGGAACTTGATTTTAAAAATATTTGTAAGTCACAAATATGAACTTAAGTTTTTACTGAATTGCATAAAATTTCATTAAATGTCAAGATTCTTCCATAATACTCCTTTCGTCCAGATTTAATCTTCTTATCTGAATTTATTGGTCAAATTTTGTAAATATTGACCTCAATATATGAAAAAAATAATTTTTATTTCTCAATAAATGTAATGTCAATATTTTTTGAAACGTTATTTTGAAATATGAACTTTTCATAATATATGATAAGGATAAATATCGATACTAATAATCAAAATGTTAGATTGAAGATCGTAAAAAATCAAATGAGAAGATTAAATCTACTCATACAATGAGAAATCCTAAAATTTTCATTTTTTTCAAAATAGGTAGCTCCCAAACTAATATATCAAGAAGTATATGCATAGCTAATTATTCCATAAAAATTAATGATGAAATCACTTTTTTTATGCAAAAATATAACACATAATTCCTTGGATAAGAGTAAAAATCTATGAAAAACCAAAGGAGTACTAATACTTTTGAGACCAACATAGGAGATCACACTGTAATTGTTATACTCCCATACTCATCTCATTGTTACATTGCAACTGCCAGACTACCATGCGTCGATGCTTGCCACCAGAGTATCGCCGCAGATCACCGACGATTGAGTGGTCATATTACCATATAATATTGTTATCACTTTTCCATCACACTCTAATGTTACACTTATATCACCCTGTCATTATACTCATATTTTGGTATTAAAAAACTTATTACTCATATTATGGTATTTTAATAATTTTTTACTGCTCTCCAGGGGATTTTTTAAAATATAATTCTAAATCTAAAATTAGAAAGTGTTCTTTACCCTCCATACGTATATCCTGTACACAGAATGGAATGTCTGAATAATTTGAATAACATTATTCATTATTTGTCTCGGTCCACTTCGTCGTCAAATCTTGAATTATGTATTATATGATTTAAAAAATAAAGTAAATAAATATTAAAATTTCAATGATTCTTCACCAATGCATTAAATCAAACAAAAATAATATAAAACCATTAGCAATCTTTTTTTTAAAAAAATTTATTTGATTTAAATAGTTGATCATTTAAAAAACAATCTAGATGCCTTTTGTTTATAAAATACTCCATATTAGTTTAGAGATTAAAATATATTGGAGTACTTTTCTTCTTATTTTTTATATTTTAATAAATAAAATAATTCATATAAGCATATCATAAATAGAAATGAAATTTTATTTTGATCAATTACATTATATAATTTAATTAAATTAATTATCATATCCTAAAAGATAATAAAAATAAATGAAGTATAAAGTACAAATACTAAATTTTGAAAATAATGTAATATTTTAAAAGTATATATAACTATTTTATAATTAAATTTATTCAAAGATTTCATTCCAAATTTTGTTCATATTTAATGTCTTAAATTAGGTGACATATCAGGTGTAAAAGTCCACATAAGTAATGCACATGCCAACTTTCTTAAAAAAAGTTTAATCTTTTTATATGAAGGATTTATTGATTAATTTTATTTTTAATAATTTTTTAAAATGGGTTTTTTTTAAAAATCTCTTTAATAATATTATTTTTGATAAAAAATTAAAATTTCAATCACATGTCAAATAATATTCAATGGAGTCTAGGTCATAAATCAAATGCCACATAACATGCTCCATATTTTGTCAAATGTACACTCCATATTATGCTACATGTGAAACTCTTATGCATTGAACTCTCAAATTTATATATAAAGTATATCCTCTGTTAATAGGTCATTCTACTAATATGACTTATAATGTTTGTTTGAAGAATCTTCGGAAACGTCCACTGAAAAATTTCAAGTTATTATAAACGAATAACATATTACACAATTCAAATAAAATAATGTATTATTAAAGAAAACTATTTGAATAGTCATTGAAATAATTAGTCATTGGTCCAGAACTAGACGGAGCACTGATTTTAAATAATTTTTGGACCGAAGAACGGACCTAATAGCAATCGGGTTTTGATCGAACTGGACCAACCTGATCTAGAACGAATGGACCGAAAAGTACCAAAAAAGCAATATAAATTCAACCCTAAAAAGTACTGAGTAACAAGCTAACACAATTTTAAAAACAATGGAGTTACAACATTAAATTTAAAAGGAAAATATCAATATCGTGGAAAATAGCCATCAACACTATGTGTAGAGAAGAAGAAAGAGACGGTACTAGGGATAATTTGATATGTTATCCGATGTTGTGTGGATGAAAAGATGTGGAATATTATTAAATATCGGTCCTTCGGTCTAGACTCGACCGGACTGAAACCCGAAATCTCAAAAAACCTGGACTTAGGAATGGACCCAAATTCATTCAGTCCGGTTTCGGTCTGGACCTATCGATTCGGTTTGGTCGATTTTTTCGATCTCGACCTAAACTTGAACAGTCATAGTGATTACAAAAGTAATTTATTACACAATAAATATGACTGGAAACAAAAATAAAACCTACATGATTAGTCACTCTTCACCCAAGCATATGAACTCTTCGGCTCCGTTTGGTACACAGAATTCAAACTATGAAATTAGAATTAGAGACAACAATTCTAATTCTGCTGTTTGGTACAATAAAAATATATAGATTTTAAATTGTTAGTGTCAAAAATGAATTAGAAATGGAGAACTCAATTCTATCCAAATCAATTCTAAAAAATTTCTACTCCCGATTCAATTTCAATTACATCAATTCTGTGTATCAAACGGACTTTTCGGATATTCACGTATTTCAATAAAATAAAATCATCTATTTGAAACTTATGAAGAAGAAAAAGAATTAATATGTACAATACCACTCATTCAATTCTTTTTTTTTGTTTGAAAGACTTATTCCATATTTCCATTCTTAATTTTAAGGAATGAGAAATTTAATTAGGACAACCCAAGATGGAATTAATTTGGGAGAAATTTAATTAGGACAACCCAAGATGGAATCATCCATTCCCCGTTTCCTTCTCCTGAATTCGCCATTTGAATTTCCAGCTTTGCATTATACTCTGGGTAAAAATTTCCTGCATTTTCTTCCTCTGCTCATCTCCCTGCGTGTAACGATCTTCCATTTCGGTATTTCCTTCACTTCAACACTCTACTTACGAAGTACTGCATTAATTTTAGCTGTTTTCTTGTGTGCTCGTTTTCAAACGGTGATGATATATAGTGGCGCACGGATTCTCAATTGATTATTTTCTGTTTTTTGTTGAATTTCATATTAATTCAGGGATCTTTCTTCTGGGTATATGCAATTGTTTTTGTCTGCGTGAATTCACAGTGTTAATTAATTACATGAAAATTGTTTTTGCCCGAGCCTTGTACGTGAAAATTATTATGGTTATTATTTTTTAAATTGGATGACGGGGAGGTTCGAATTTGTGAGGCTCTTAAGCCTACCATGTCAAGGCTCTTGCCCTGGAAGGATTTTATAGTGTAACACATTTGATGAGCGAATTGGAATGGAACAATTAAAAAGGGATTGAGTGGGTTTTGTTTAATTTAGCAGGTGTATATTAGCCCATAAATTAATACTAATGATTATTTATATATCATTCATGAGTGAATGAATCCTCTTGGTAAGAATGTATTGGTGGTCATATTTTGGAATAGCCAAATAGGGCACATGTTTTACTCCTTCAGTATGATTTATTATTTTACTTTTGGTATTTAAGGTTTTATGTACATGCTCTAAGTTCTAACATTTTATGTGTTTGAGACAAGGTCTCTTGGAATTGGAAACAACCTTTCAACTAGTTTTGTTGTTATTGTTGCTCTAAGCTCTAACATTATTTGCCAAAAGATGTGATACTTTAGCCAGCCTTCCATTTGTGTGAATATGTTTCATTAAATAAGTGTGATGTTCTTTTTTATTCAGCTCACTTATCTGCCTATGACAGAAATTGCACTTACTAATCTGTTGCTCACTTATTGCTGACTATACCATGGATTTTTTTACTCCACTAGCATTTATTTCACTTGAATTTTTATGACGGCTTCATGCGTGAAGTGCGAGTCTCTCTCATTTTGTTAATTCCTTTTTTATTACATAAGATCAAGCTATTGCCAATTTAATTGTGGAGCAAGCTTTCAGATATCATGAAGAAAAAGATTTATGCAGAATATGATTCTCTTGGGGAAGGCAAGATAAGCCTCTGCCGACTGGGTAAGAAAAACCATGCTGCTCTATTTATAATATGAATTATCTGTGGTGTAATGTCTATAGAACTGTTTTGCCAACAAGTTCACAAAGGATAAATGCATGTCATTTGAGGCCAAGCTTCACAAACCTTATTTGTTGCATGGTAGTTCATCATGGTGGTATTTTAAGAAAGAATTCATTGTAGTTGTAGTTGTAGTTGTAGTTGTTTGTAAAGTCTTTTTAACTCTTTAGCAGAGCCTTATGAGTAGAGTAGGGTATTTCTTGTTGTATACTATGTAAGAACCAAGTTCCTAGAAGAGGGGGATTGATCATTGCTTGACTCTTATGCAGTTTGATGGGTATATTGGGACTTGTCCCTACAGTGATTCATCCCAATATACTCGGTTCACTGTAAATAATACTAAGCTATTGTATTCATCCACCTAAGCTACACCTTTGGTAAGTGGATGCGGCTCACGTGAAATGGATCAGTCCAACTAGACCCGAAAAGAGGCTCACAGTCTGCCATGTGGCGGGTACTGGTAGAGGTAGGCGCTGGGGTTAGGAGTCTAGAGCTAACCTCCTTGATCTCCCCCATGTGCCCCCATTATCTCCCATGATCACGGCCACGTTTCCATGTCTTCCAGGAACATGGGAGACAGTTTCCTGAAATTAACCTTCTTGATCCACATAAGTATAATGCCTCTTAGCCTGAAGAGGAGATCACACTCTTGAAATACCAAGGGCATATTATTGCTTCATCTCTCCCATATTCTATTTCTTTTGATCTAACTATTACCCAATAATTCTAATATTCCGGTGGATTAATATCCACCGCAGTCATACATGACTTTTTATTTATAAGGCCTTCTCTCATTGTGATGAAGTGAGAAGTCATCCTTTTGTTGTCTGATATTCAATTATTGCTAAATGCAAAAATGGTTGAAAATATTTTTGACTTGTTTCAACTTTCTTTTTGTATTCTCTGGACAAGATGCATGCACTGTTGGCAACATATATGTTCTATGATACAACACTTTGGCTTTTGCTAGTTTGATAGTTCGATGTTATGCCTTTTTGATCTTGTAACAACACAAAAGAAAAATGAACAAGCCAATAAGACCATTCTTTAGAGATTATGTGGGTTCTCCTCTATCAACCTACATTTTAGATTCCTATCCTATTTTATTTCTACAAAGTTATTTTGACATTGGAAGTTATGAAGTTTGCTATGTAAATAACCTCTATCCTTAGTTTCCTCTATGCTCTTTGTGATTGCTTTGTTCCTACTTTGTTTGTGTCCTTAGGTCTACTTTGTTGGTTTTTTTGTGCTTGAGTTGGGGGTCTCTTGGAAACAACCTCTCTACTTTCAAGTAGGTGTAACGTACACACACCCTCACCAGACCCTATAGTATGTGGCATTTTACAGGGTTTATTGTTGTCCCAAAGTAATTGATGATTTAGAAAAATGCACACTTATTAAAAGGCCTTAAAGTTACTCATCTGCCCTATATGAGTATAATGTTAAATGCATTTTAATCCCAAGATGATTCAATTTAAATCCATTCTTTTGAGTTCAATGTAAGAAATGACTCATCTACCCATACTCTTTAGTAGTACGGTTTTGCATATGATTCAAAGTAAATCCATAGTAAGAATTAGAGACACCACACTGCTCTGCCATGTGCGCTTTGTTACTAATATTTAAAAGGTGCAAATTATTTAATGTAGGGAGACTCAGTCGGGAATATTTGGAAGATTTGTAAAAATATGCATGTAGGTCATAAAACAAAAGTGTTTTGAGGGCTTTTTTGGTGGCTAAAATGCCAATAAATATGGGAGTAGTTCTTAATAGCAGACTGTTAAATGGACAACATAATGTCACAACGTGCTCTTGTCTAACATTGTATCAGGCCGACTGTGTGGGAGGCACAAGGATACATATATGCTTGAAGCTTGAGAAATATTCAATACAACAAAAGACCAAGCGAAAATGTAACAATTGCTTCACTTCACGTTCAAGAAGTAGCTGGTGCCTTGTAGACTCAGCATTGGTAAGCATTTTTTAATTACTCTTATATCATTATTAAAATAGCTACAATATTATTGCTTTGTTCCACATCTCGCAAACCTTATTTTTGGATTCGTATGTTATATATATGGGAATAAATACATTACAATATTTCCGAACTTCTGGTGCTTATTCCTGGATATTTGTTACATTTATGGGAATAAATACTTCATAATATTTCTGAATCAGCTTGATGCGGGACGGGGCAGAAGCGACGTTTTGAGTCCCTAGGATTCTTCCGTATGAACAGGCGTAGGGATAGGGTGATTGTAAGGCTCACTACTCTATAACTTTGGCACCTCCACGATGGCAACTCCAAAGGTGTAATTTTAGACCTCATAAGTTGTCGAAACTCTTACGAATTTCTCTACCCACACAAGATCAAAATAATAACCCACACAGGATTACAAAACACATAATCCCTCCATCTGGAAAAGAAGTTCCCACTTTGACTCTTCTCCATTTTTAATATGTGTTGAGCAAATGCTTGTATTGCGTATAATACCCTGCTCCTGCCCTTGCTTTTTCATCTGAAACCACAGCCCTAACCACCATTTCCTCAACAGTCAACTCTAACCAGATAGGTAATTAAGGTCAAACCTCCTCCCTCAAAGTGTCAAACCCAACATTGCCCTATCCCCACCACCACAACCACCCCAACCATGCCCAGCCCCAACCACTGTTAGCCCTACCTGAAAATTGCAACGGAAAGAGCCAGGGGTTTCTGAAAATCGGATGTTTCTGGATCGAAACATGAACGAATATTTGAATATTCATAGTTTAAACGATAAACCGAGATCAATTTTGAATTTTTAACTGGCGTTATTTCTTATACTATATCTAAAAAATATTTATGCACGTGCATAAAAAAGTTATGTTTCACTAAATATATGTGCTGAAAATCTTATATTTTAGATCTTTATGTTAAGTTAGTTTGGTCAAATTTTACTAATTTAGCCTCGATGGAATAATATTTTATCTAAATTGAAGTGCTTACCTACAATGAAATACTTTATTAGTGAGTGGTCATATATACAATAATTTGAAAGAGAATCAAATAGTACATGTCTAGATGATGAAAGATTAGAAATTGAAAATACACAACCTTGAAATCAATCAAATAATCAACGTTAGACAATAAATTTGTTCAAAAATAGTTATTATAATCTATTTAAAAGTAAGATGTACCATCATTAGACTTTGAGACATTTATTAAATACTTTTGCAACAACATAGTTTCAAAAATGAGAAAATTGGCTACATGTAATTTGTTCATATTATGAATAGGATTAAATATGTTCCTAGTCCCTGTAAAATAGGCGACTTGTTTTTTATCCCTATAAATTTTTTTAATTCATCCTTACAAATTATTTTATTTTTAAAATAGTCCTTAAAAGTAATTAAGAATTCTAATATGTTGAGATAACACATTTATTTTGTATGCAACAACCTAATCTTGCAATTCTAATTACCTGAGACACAATTGTCATATCTTAACTTATGTCCTTTATCAAATTATATCCTCAATTCCCAAATTTTATTACTCCCTCCGTCCCTAAATGAATTTGTTCATATTATGAATAGGATTAAATATGTTGTTAGTCCTTGTAAAAATAGGCGACTTGTTTTTTATTCCTATAATTTTTTTAATTCATCATTACAAATTATATTTTATTTTGAAAATAGACCTTAAACGTAATTAAGAATTCTAATATGTTGAGATAACACATTTATTTTGTACTCAACAATCTAATTTTGCAATTGTAATTACCTCACACACAATTCTTATACCTTAACTTGTGTCCTTTATCAAATTATGTCCTCAATTCCCAATTTTTATTACTCCTTCCGTCCCTAAATGATTTACACACTTTACTATTAAAAAATTGCGGTAACTTTTGTTTATTTGTGTGTTTTCATTGATTATTTGATAAAATAAAATATTCTTGTCACTTCTTATTTTGTAGTACTTTTGATTTATATTTAAATATGTAAGTTATATTTTTTATTTATATACCAATCTTTGAATAAAATGAATTGAAAAAAATCGAGATTTTACTTCATTTTGCGTAAAGGAGTAATTATATATATTCTCAAGAAATTTGAAAATTGAAGATGTAATATGAATAAGGACACAATTTAGGTAATGAAAATTGTGTCCGAGGTAAATAGAATTGCAAGACTAGGCTGTTGAGTTTGAAATAAACGTGTTATATCAATAAATTAAAAGTCTTAATTACGTTTAAGGACCATTTAAAAATAAAATATTTTGTAAGGATGAATTAAATATACATATTTTTTTGAATCGAATATATACACATTCATGTTTATATGTGTTTTACTTTTGAATACGAATAATAATAAGTATTTATGTTTTTATTTGCATTTGTTTTTACAAATGGGATTCATTGTTTTTTAATGCACATCATAAATTGAATGAAAATTAATCGCTTTATTTACAACCCTAACCCCATCTTTGTTTCCCATTTCATCATTAATAATCAATGGCACACACACAAATACCATTTTTATTTAAAAAGGCAATCAACTTAAAAATAGAAATTAATAAGTACAAAGTAAATAATTAAATAAACAGATTTTCAACTTTTCAGAGTAATCTAAAATATCCTTGCAACTTACAAGTAAGTTGTCTCTTTGTATTTATGTAGTGCATTTCATGCTTCCTCTTTTGCATTTTTTTAACATACAAGAATACACTAAAGGCTTATATGATCATTATTTTGGGACACAGGTATTTCAAAACTTGAGTATTTTAAATATATATGTGTCAGACAATAAAACTTTTTTTGACCTACAACCACAAATTTGAGCTTTTGGTTGAGTTGGTTCCATTGACATGGTATTAGAACTTTGTTGATCAAGAGGTCACGAGTTTGATTCTCACCTCTACCTAATTTTTAAACGAATAGGGTTTCACGTGCACGGTTCAAAGTGAGCATGCCTGTAGGTGAAGGGATGTGTTAGATTATAAGACCTTTACTAGGCTTACAACTATAAGCTTGAGCTTTTGGTTGAGTTGGCTAATGGCTAAAAAGATGAAAAATATAGGGGGGTAATGGCTAAACACACTTCCTATTTTCATTTTTCATGTATTTAAAGTACTCATGTTTTAAATAAAATTTAGTCCCTAAATAATAGTTATATTAGCTTTGAGTGCATTATCAATCATTTTTTTCCTTGCATACCCCTAGTAATATATGAATAGTAAGGATAAAAAGGTAGGGTTACTTAGGTATAAAATACATTTATAACTAGGATTAATATCATATTTTGGTCACATTTTTTTTTGAAGCAAAATGACCCTTTAAACTGGCCGGCTTCTTTTAATAGGAAGTAGGTGTTAATGAATGCAACATTCGACGCTCATCATGGGTCATCCAGAAACAGTCGCTTTATGTTTTAAACAACCTCTCTACTTTTGAGTAGGTGTAAGGTCTGTGTACACGCACCCTCCCCAGACCATACTTTTGCGGGAATCAACTCGGTTGTTGCTGTTGCTGGTCCATGTAAAACAACTAAAGAGGCTTATTTTTGGATGAAAGAGGTTTTTATCATATAGTGTAACAAACACCCTCCACAGACCCTATTGTTTGTGGGATTTTACAGAGTTTGTTGTTGCATAATGTAACACATGTAATTATGATTCATTTGCATGATTGAAGTAGATAATTTACCATGACTTCTCATATTATATACATACCTCCATTAAAAAAAATTTCAATTCTATTTTCATGGTCAACGTTTTCAAATTTTGACCATAATGTACCAAAAATACACTATGATTTGGTATAAATTTAACATCAAGAGATTCATTTTGAAGCATAGTTTTGAAATATCATATCTTTATAACACATATTTATATATAAATATAAATATCAATGGTCAAACTATTGTATTGGAGGCCGTGAAAAGTCATATAGAAAAAAACATTCCAAAAGGAGGGAGTACTTATTAGTATCTCAAATACACACATTTGACGATTGAATTAATTCCTAATGCATAAAAAGAAACATAATTATTGTGCACCCACCCATATATGGAATTTTTACAATGCTGATTTAGCATAGTGCCAACATACTTTATGAAGTTTTCCTCTCTCTATGCACCTCTCTTTGTGTACCTTTAAAGACATAGAAACATAAATTCATATAGAGTGCATGTGTCACAGAAAGTTATTAAACATTAAATTATAGGGGTAAAACAATGATATAATTTAGAAGAAAAACAAATTATTATAAGGAATTAAATACGGCGTGCGAGTGAGTGGTGCTCATAATCATATACTCCATCAGGCCCTCTTTCATATTTACTCTTTCCTTTTTGAGTCATTCTTAAATAATCTTTTTGTTTCCTTTTTAAACTCCTTCTCCAGAGAAACCTCAAATGTACAATTTTATTTTATAAAATTCTGTGGAAATCTAACATTGGAAAGGAAAAATAAATATAAAATTAGAAGAGTCTCAAATATGAAGAAGAAAGAGTAATAGACATGTTATTGTTACGTGAACACATTTGACTTGGGCGAGAGTGCTATTAATTGTGACTCTTACATAGTTATTTGGAATAATACTAATACTCTGGGAGTCTGGGTAATTATAATACTAATAATAATACTACTACTAATAATAATAATAATAATAATAATAATAATTATTATTATTATTATGTGGCTCTCTTTTGTGAATAGTTGGGTAAATAGGTCAAAATGTCTGATCAATAAAGGATTAAAAAAGTAGGAAATTAGAGGAGTCTGAAAAGAGAAGAAGACATAATTGTAGGATAAACTATAAAGGAAAGTGTGGTGTATAAAATGCGATGTAAGAAGCATGTTTATTGTATATAGCTCAGATTTTTTTGACGGGTATTTACCTTAGATTTTTAAGTACAAAGCATTGATTTTGTGCTTTTTGTACTCTCGCAAATATCTCAACTCATCATTGTCTTAAGAGTTCTTCTTTGCACATGGAGAGTATACATGATTATCACTTTTTTAGTTTATTTCATCTCATTATTCTGCCTTAAGAAGAGCCTACATGAAGGGCATCCTACGCAAAGTGTTGCAACTATGCTTTTTGCATTGATTTATTGTTAGGCTCTTTTGTACAATTAACTAAAGCTACAATTTGATGCCTTCTTCCCCAGTTACAATTATTGTGCTAATGGTGATGTCGGTGACATAATACCCCATACTTAACAACATAAGAATTAACAATGCTCACGATCATGCAAAATCATGTAGCTCTCCATTATTATATACGACATGTCTTTCTTAAGTATTTATTTTCTTACTAAGGTAATATTTTAAAATCACACCAACCAATCAAGTAATAATTATATTAAATTCGGAGTTTCATCATTATTTTGGGAACTCATTTGACATTGATTTCCACTCTTTGACCACGATACTACTGAAAAGTGATAACTTCATAGTAGTCATGCGGATTAAATTGACATTTTTAATACACTAGTGTATGACCCCACTGTGGGAGGCGCGTGGAAGTTTGAAAAATTGCACTTGCTCAAATTTTATTTTTCTATATATTGCTCTCTGCGTCTTTCTCCACATATGCTAAAGAAGTGGCAAGGCTGAGGGAAATTTAAAAGTTCTCGAGGAGAGCGTAGAAAAAAGGAAAAGAAAAAAACGGCAATCCACCATAAACCTCGTTGTTGCCGTCCGGTGATTTAGTCTGCCGTAAACATAGCTATGGCTTCCCTGAACAGAGATATGATTTTTCTCATTCTGCAATTCTTAAATGAAGAGAGATACAAAGAGACGGCTCGCTTGTAAGGGTCTTTTATATTACTCAAAAAATTTAAAACTCTATTTATTAATTTACTTCATATTTATTAGTTTCTGTTTTAAAAAAAGTTGATTTTGTAATCTTTGTTTTTTTCAAGAAAGTTGATTGTCTTCTTTATTAGAAAGTAGCGTGTTTATGTGTTTGTGTGTATTATTGAATGTTATTGATGAAACTGAAATGAAGGTTGGAGGAGGAGTCTGGGTTGTTCTTCAAGATGAGACATTTGGAGAAAATTGTGCTTGATGGGGATTGGCAAAGAGCAGTCAAGTACATATCGGGTTTCACAAGCGCCAATGAAAACCAATTGTCTAAGGAAATTTTCTTCTTGATTAAGAAACAAAAATATTTGGAAACACTCTACAGGTAGCCTAGACCATGTCTTTAGTATAGTTTGTTAAATGTTATTTTAAACTTTAATTACCCGTTTTGTTAGCAATATGTGTCCAACCGGTAGTAGATAAATTTAACTCAATTTTTATTTTCAGAGGAGACCGTGGCAAGGCTTTGGAAATTCTAACAAATGAATTTCAAGTGTGCTCCACTTCTAACGATAATGTGCCTAGGGAGTTGATGGATCTACTGACCTTAAAGAACTTCAGGTGCTATATAGTTAAATCACAAGATGAATTATGTTATCAGATAATATTGTTCCCATCATTTATTTATTCAATGGCACACAAACACCAAATTTAATTTATAATCAGAAATACATAGGAATGTCTCTGTATCAGAAAAAAATCACGTTTAGGCTCAATGCGTGAATCACTATTCCAAGAAAAGTACATGGAGCTGTATTGCACGAAAACTTTTTTGAAGTTACCTTTGCTTGTTTCAGAGTCATTCTAAAAATGTTTTTAAAACCTTTTGAAAACTTTTGGGACAACTCTTTCTGATCTATTTCTCTTTATAGTATCTCCTTTTCTGCTTTCTGTTTCTCGCATTTTTGTATCCATACAACATAGCAATAAGGTAAAATAGATACCTATTTAGTTGTGAATTCTTATGTTTTATTCTATATAATTGTAGGGACAATGAGGAGCTGGCAAATTGCGCGAATCCCCAATCAGCTAGAGCACTTGTATTTTTGGAGCTAAAGAAATTGATTCAGGCAAATCCAGCTTTTCATGATAAGCTCAATTTTCCTGCAATAACAAGGGCGAGGTTGCGGACAATGGTTAACCAAAGGTAGAAATGAAAAGTATCCAATAAATGAATGACTCAAAGATATATCTTTTTGGCGGATGTGTTGTTAAATCGTTGTGCTGGTTGTACTATTGCAGTCTGAATTGGCAGCACAAGGTCTGCCGTAATCCGAATCCCAACCCTGAAATCAAGACTCTTTTTGTAGACCATATTTGTGGTCAACAAAATGCTTCACACGCTTCATCATCCGTCAGTAGCAATCCTATGATGGCTTCCACACTACCTACGGTTGGGAGATTTCCATTTCCGGGATGTGGATGGAGGGCAGACTCACACATTAAGGAACACCTGCCTGCTTCAAGCGGGCTCATTGCCTTAAATGCCACAACAAGCTATCCGATTGTTGATGCTGAACCTATGCAGACGATGTTGAAACATTCCGTGATCCCCAATGAGGTAATCAATGAGTAGAAGCTTCTAATGCTGATTTTATATTTCATGTTGCCTTGTCTTTTATTTTGTTAGTGTCTTGTTTAATTGTAAATTAGTAATCTATTAAGAGCGTGGGTTCTGCTCCTTGTCCATAGATGTGAAGAACTAGTGGCAGTGGAGATAAGGTAGGAGTCCCCTCGAGAAACCCTAGGGTTCAAAAGTCCATGACAATTGAAGAATTAATTTGAGTTGAAAGATGATAATTATTACTCCGTATTAATCACGTGGTATACATTGGAGGGAATGTTGATACAACTCAACTATGGACAAGCTATAACCATATTTAAGCGTAATACTAAAACATAACCAGGGCAACTTAAATTAAAGTAGGACTTGTTGTAAAGAAGGAAAGACTCCAAGCCCAAGGCAAGTAGTTGGGCCCGCTCCGCTTCCTGCACCTTTGATATTTTATTCCTATGAATGGGTCTGTAACACCACCCCTCCTTGAATTTGAGATTGTTCGCAAGCTTAAACTCAGAAATGCTGAATTAAATGTCTCCAATGGTTCCCGAGGAGTAGCTTTGTCCTCGGTCCCTCCCTGCTACTGAGTCAGTGCCTCCTTGACGCTGTGGTTCTATGATGTGACTTCAACTAGGTGACATGGAATGTATTAGGATTCTTGCTTCCTGGTTGTAGCTCCAAGCAGTAAGCAGAAGGACCTACCTTAACCTACACCGGAATGGCCTGTAGAAACTTGGCAAGAGTTTGTGAACCTTCTTTCTTCCCATAGAGAGCTAGTGTTAAGGTTCCAAACATAACCACACCCACTCTCCTACTTCAAAGATTACCTCATTTTATGTTTCTTATCATGGGTCCATTTCATGCGAACTTGGGCTGCAAACAGCTTTTCCCTTGTGTCTCGAAGGATCTCCACTCCCTCAACTTGGGGGTCACCCCTCCTGCATAGGCTAGTAGTTTTGGCGGATCCCTTCTGTAGACTATAAGACTATTAGGAATGGAGTTTCCTTCAAGAATGAATGGAACAAGGTGCTGTAACAGTGCTCAAACCATGTTAAATTCTGAAGCCATTGGCGAGGCATCCTCTCTGCGATGCACAATTAATACATTTCTTTGGTCGTGTTGACTATACCTTAGTTTGGCCGTCTTGTCTACGGAATGCCATGTTGACCTACAATCTACAATGTCATTATAGAAGGTTATGGACCCATGAATGTTCATTAGAACCTGACGTGCATGGGCCGGATTTCTTTGACTGATAGTGGGTGATGGGTAGAAGCTTCTATGGATGAGCGGTTATATGTGTATGGATAGAATAAGGAATGAAGATATGAGAGAGAAATTTGGAGTGACACCTATCATTGAAGAGATGGTGGAGGCCCGTCTTAGGTGGTTTGGACATGTTGAGAGAAGACCAATAGAGCATCCAATGAGAAGGGTGGATCAAATAGAAAACAGACACGTGGCTAGAGAAAGGGGCAGACCTAAGAAACTTGGCACGAAGTGGTCAAGGGTGATCTATGCATGAATGATCTTATTGGGGGCACAATGATGTTGTTTGATCCATGTAGCCGGCCCCACCTAGTAGGATAAGGCTTGGTTGTTGTTGTTGTATAGTGGGTGATGGGTGAGGACTGCGCTCTAAAATGTCAAACTCATTCTAGTTCAAATCGTGTGGTGGATGGTATTGAAAACCTGCAAGGCTGCAACCACTTGACCCTGCCTACTATATTACATTTTTATCATTTTTATGTATTTCATTATATGTAAGTTATGTGGTAATTTATAGTCACTATATATCTTTTTACTTGAAAGATATATCATATATGTATAACCCTTCTTTTTTTGTTAGTTGCATAGTACCAAATATTTTAAGCACCAATTGATTTCATTTTCCAAACATGCAAGTAGAGTTTAATTTTTAGCCGGGTGATGATTCGCTTGATGTCAATTGCTTCAATTCATAGACATATTTTATCTTTTTCAAACATTGAATAATTTGGTTAAGGATATTAAGTTCAATGTCCACAAATTTTGTATGTCCCAACTCTGTTAGCTCTGGGGTGACCATGGTTGTTCCATAGACCTCAGTGGGGCTGGGTGGAGAAATTACATGGTAGGTTGGGCTGTGGAATGTGGATGTAGCCACCATTGAACTACCCCAACCTATTGCTATCTATAAGTGTCTTTTTGGGTTGAGTGCAACCTTATATTTTGTGAAGCTGAAACCTTTTTCTTATTTTGCAGGGTGGACACACTTACCCATTGCGCCCAGTAGCAACCGAAATTATCCTTCCAACACACCTTTGTTCGTTAATCCTTCCAGATGGGTTTTCTTCGGCGATGGTAAGTACGGACTACAGAGTATGTTATAATTTTACAATAAAAATTTATTGATCTAGTAATAGTTAGTTAAGACTGCTTACAAATAAAGAGTTGTTAGATTAATCTAAAAGCAGACTAAATTGGTGTGAATACCATCATACCAAAGTGCAATGAGGAAAGAACTGGTCAAATATTGAAAGAGAGTATTGATGCATCCTCCAGGTTACTTTAAGCGGAAACGAACACCGCAAGTCGATTTTGAGTTTCCAAGGCTTCCCGAATCAAGAGCTTGGATAGGTTTTTTCACACCTCTAGAGTATGTGAATGTAGCAACATAAAAAAGAGTGAATCTCCTATTCCTTGAGATAATTGTATTGTATTAAGATAATTAAGAAAACTCGCAAGCTAGACTCTAAGAACTTTATAATTCTCACGAGTTTTACTCACCATAACTTGTCTTACAAATGGGAAATGCAAGCCTTTTATAACCCCAATTCGCACAAAATTACAAGTAATAAACTTAAATAAAAAAACACTAACATTCTAAAAAGTCTTATCAAGGATTCACTCCCATGCCCTTCAAAATTGGTGTCTCCCAATTTGTAAGACAAAAGAGTTGCTCATTCTTACCCCATAATTACCATATCACGATCATTTGTATTACCATAATAAGATCTCCTTAAAATAAACCATAGAAAAAAGAAAAAATAAACCATAGAAAGCTTCTTCAGTTATTTCACCCACTTTAGTCTTGAAAATCCTCCCAATTATCAGAAAGTATTCCATTAGAAGATTTGAGATTGATTTGAATTATTGAGTACATACAAAACAAATTAATTACGAAAATAATTGGAGACTTCTGGTGAAAATCAGGCTGGTCTGGCACCAGTTATAATTATCTCTACACCAATTACACTATTTTTCCGGTGCCTGTTTCGGTGTGTGTTGACGTGCCTGCAACGAGTAATTGAAGCTCGAGGCTGGTTCCTGGGGATATCCGGTGCTGGTTCAAGGCTGTTTTGAACCCTTGAGCTTTATTTTTTGGTCTGCAGCAACTATGGAAAGATACCAAATTAGACTGGTTCATGTAGGAGTAGGACCTGTTGGACATGGTTATAGAAATTTGGAGTCAAGTAAACCAGTCTGGAACTGTCCTATACGAATATAAACACTCTTTATGTGTCATAGTACCTCACTTTGATTTTTTTTCTTTCCTTATGAATAACCCCAAAGCATTTCATGCTAATTTGATTGTTTTAGTAGATTAATTGCATTTCCAACTGTAGGTTAGCAGATTAATGTATACACACATTGGAGATTCCATTTTGGCTCTGGGAAGCAATGGTGTCCACAAATTCTGGAGGTGGCAGAGCACTGAGACAAATTTGATTGCAAAGGTAACTGATTTCTTTGAAATCTGTGTTTGGAATGTGGAAAATGGTAGGGAATGAAAACAAAAGCCAATGAAAATGGTTTCTATTTTATTTTTGGATTTACCTTGGTTAATTTTGAGGGAAACGTTCAATTTGAGTATTTGACTAAAGAAGTTCAAACTTTTACATTTAACAGAAACAACCTCTCTGTTTTTTTTGGGGATAAGGTTGCACATCTTGACCCCTAGACTCCAACACAGTTATAATGATATTAGGTTAGTTTGTTGTACTCCGTAATAAAGTACAACTTTATTATTAAAATAAGTTTGGACAAAGATCTAGCATTTATTTAGAGTTTAAACCTGTTTTTCCTCCAAATTCTGACCTTCCAAATTTCCCCTTGGTTTTCTTTTCCCTTGCTTTTTCCAAGTTTTAAATTTCCATTTCCACATTCTACATGTTAGTTCTAATGCAATTGGACATGTTTTTCTCCAGGCAACGTGTCGAATAACATCTAAAGTGTGGCAACCTTGTGCCGGAATTGAAATGAGAAATGATTTAAGTGAGGCTCGCATGGAACACGCCATTGCATGCTTTGCTTTAGGAAAAACTGGCTTTTTTCTTTTGTCGGCATCTGGTGGGAAAGTTTCCTTGTTCAGTATGAACACATTTAAGGTAGTACCATCATTTTCCCCCTTTTCTTTTTCTGTGGCCTACTAGCTACTGTATGTTTTAATTAAAATGCTCTTATGTATAATGTGCAGATCTCTAACTTTCATCTTTGTTGCAGAAACTTTCAGCGTTATTTTCATGCCCACCCGCCGCAACATCCCTTGCCTTTCTTCCTCAAGATAACAATGTTGTTGCAATTGGCATGGATGACTCATCTATCTTGATCTACAATATTCGTTTTGATGAGGTCTCGAACTAAAAATAACACGTAAAAAACAAGCACAATAAGCCGTGTTCTTTAGTTGTTTCCTAGACCTCCTAGAACATATCACTCAAGCATGTGGACATATTTTTTATTATTGACAATGAGTGCTAATGAAGTGTAGATTTTGTTTTAGTTGTGATTTATACCGTATGCATAACTGTGCAGATCAAATGCAAGCTCAAAGGTCATCAAAGGAGTGTAACTGGTTTAGCATTCTCTAATGCCTCTAATATTCTTGTATCATCAGGAGCCGATGCTCAGGTAAATTCCGTGTTGAGATTTATGATGAGAACTATACTCCCTCCCCAAAAGAAATTAAGACTTCCCATTTTTGTTAGTTCCAAAATAAACTTTGCATTCTCTCCTTTCCTGTTGAGGAAACGAATATATAGCTCCAAACATTTTATCTTTTAAACAAAATCCAACCACATATTTTTCACATTTCAACATGTTTCTTAAAAAACAGTGAAGTCAAACCTTGAATTTCTTTTTGGGGAGGAGGGAGTATAATATTATGAACTTTATGTGGAACATCTGTTTATTTAGCTTCTTTTCAGCTTTTTGTTTGGAGGCTGGATGGATGGGAGAAGCAGGCTTATGCAGTTTTACAGAATTGTCCTCGGGGTGGCGGTGCAGAAAATCTTGTTACTCAGACTCGTATCCAGTTGCATTGTGATCAGACTCGTCTTCTTGCTTTTAATGAAACTCAAATATCAATATACTATGTGTCAAACCTAGAGCGCATATCGCAGGTAGGGATATTATCATGAATCAGATTGACCAAACTGAGCAACCCTTTACTAACTCTTTAAAGGGATGGCCCAGTGCAAACGCTCTCAATAAGGCACCATTAATGGGAAATTAAAGGCTATCACTATATTTTGTGGAACTAACATGTTGGTGTCAACTGTGCAGTGGACCCCCCAAGACTCAGGTCTTGCGATTACAGATGCAACTCTATCTTGTGATGGCCACTTACTATATGCGTGTTGCAACAACAGCAAAATTTGTATTTTTTGGCTTAGTGCTCAAGGGCTCATTCCAAGGTGTAGGATCAACCCTACAGCTTACTTGCCACACCATAGCATAAGGTATGCAGCCTAACTACAAAGCAGGGATTTAACTTTTTGTTTTTTTACAAAACAATTCAAACATGGCAAAGCCCAAAGGGACAGAGGGAGCATGTGTTGGGTTCCGTTGAGTTGAGAGGTTGGGATGAGAGCGAATTTCCACCATAGCTTTTCATTTAGAATTCTAGCACATTATCTTATTCAGGCAGGTCCAAACACATAATAGAGTTGTAGAATAATAGAATAAGGCCAAAGTTGCTACCAATTGGAATTTGAATAAAAATATGTGATTGGTAAATTCGGGCAGGTCCAAACACATGTACTCTGTATTCTTTTAGGCCCAACATACATAGCTTATCTTACTATATTTAATTAATGCTAGGCCTAGACTGCCGTGACCTGAGTGAATAGGTTAGGGCAAGGCCCGCGAGAAATGAGTCAGGTTTAAACCCGACTCATAAGTGAGGTAAGCCCACCTAGACTTGGGGTGAGAGATGGTTAGGGTTATGAGACAAAAGGGAATGCTCCCATGAACTTTGAGTTCATATCTCACGTTCCACCACTTTCTTGGATGGTGGATCATGATATGCAGGCCCCGTTTGGGAACAATGTTTTCAGTTAGCATTTTAGATTATTTTTTAAAGGTGCAGATTAACTATGAAAATAGTAAAGCTAAACGCTGCCGTTAGATTTTTTTAAAACAATAAAGCTATATGCAGGCCCCGTTAGGGAACAATGTTTTCAGTTAGCATTTTAGATTATTTTTTAAAGGTGCAGATTAACTATGAAAATAGTAAAGCTAAACGCTGCCGTTAGATAATTTTTTTTAAACAATAAAGCTAGATGCTAAAGTGGTTGCCAAATGTACACGTAGTGACAAAACAAGGAGATTGACCCATGCACTAAAAATATTTTTCCTCCTCTATACATGAAGAGGGATCAAATTCTTAATAGAACAAAAGTCTCATATATATTTGTCTATCTAAATATTCACTTGGGTGCTTTTCATGGCTTGATAACAGTCAAGGCGTAATTCCTCGCGTGATCGCTGCTCATCCATCGGAAGCTAACCAGTTCGCGTTAGGGCTCAGTGATGGTTCCGTGGCTGTGTTGGAGCCATTGGAATCTGATGGGAAGTGGCTCGGGCACTCTTATGCTTCCCGGGCCTGATGTTTTCTTGAACTCCATATCTAGCCATTATAGAAAAAAAAACAACATTATGCAGTGGAATGGCTTTTGCAGTTTTATGAGTTATTATTAAAAATAATACCAAACTTATTGGCTACCATGTGCTTCGCACGGGCTTGGTTTTTATGTGCGGGCTTGAAATGTCTTGTTTTTCTTTCATGTTGTCGTGTTTGCATGAATTTTTTATTAGAACAGGGTGTAAAAGTTGGGTTTATTGCCTCATGTTAGCTCTCATTCCTGGATACGGGTTTGTAGAGGAAATATTTAAATCTTGCTAATATCATTATATCCTTATAAACCTTTTACTTTTATCGCCTGTTTGCTACACGGAATTGACGAGATTGGAATTGAATTAGGAATAGAAATTCTATGGATTGATTTGGATGGAATTGAATTCTCTAATTCCAATTCATTTTTTGGCGCTATCAGTTTCAAATCCACATATTTTTGTGCTACCAAACAGGAGAATTGGAATTGTTGTCTTCAATTTCAATTCCATAGTTTGAATTTCGTGTACGAAACAGAGTCTTAGAGTTTAAGAATTCACATTCCTACCCTCCCAAGTGCAAAACCGAACTCGAAATCTCTTGGAGCACATCTCACTTCCATTGTACACGTGATTTAAAGTATTAAACCACACAGAAAACCAAACAAAACGTATACCATCACACGAGTAGCAATATCGGGTTCTAGTACTCGTTCTTACTTAGAAATTAGAATGGCCGGCTCCTAAAGGTGCACCACCGCAAGTAAATTTTTATTAGTGTGTTTGAGTAGTCGGGACGGGAAGGAGTATCAAATTAAAGCAAGTGAAACACCAAAAACAATTATCAAAATTCAGAATGCATCCAACTTCAAGATGTAGCCTTGGTGATATTCTTAGCCTGTGCGATGGATCATCAATAATTAGACTACAAATGTTCCACCTATTGCCTTTTCCGCTTCTTGAGTGTTTTATTTTGTAACAAGCTTTGTGACTTAGCTTCTTATCTTAAATCCTGGTCTAAAATAATAAGTCTGATCTTGTTAATTTATATTATCATTTATCAATAATATATTAAACCACATACTCCCTCTACGAACTAATCGTCCTAGTTTGATTTCACGGAGTTTAAGAAAATTATTAAAAAGTAAAAATTAGGTGGTTGAATTCTTTTTGAAATAAAAGGGTATCATATATTAATTCATAAGTTCGAATACAACGGATCACAAATAATCAACGGAGGGACAAAAACTCATTCCAAAAAATTAGGCATAGAATCATATGCCTTAGCCTATAAATAGACCACGTGATTCGCTCATCACTTGCTCAAAGACTATGTAAGGGCAGATAAAAAAATATACTCTTAAACTCAAACAATAAAAAATCACTCTTATAAAATAAGGTTAGTTATAGATAGCTAACTAGAGTAATCAATTCACCGTCTAGTTATCCATCTCATAGTTCATCCTTTGGTGCCCAACAACCCTCTTTAGCATTTAAGCGGGGGTCGAAATTTGTTTATAAGAAAGAAAGAGATTATAAATCACATATTCTTTATTTTATTAGATAAGTAAGGAAGTAATATAAATATTTTGGGATGAACTAAAAAAGAAAATAGAACGATTTATTTGATGAGATTATTTTTTTCTAAAAATTACTCCCAAAAATTAAGACTGAGCCACTATTCAAAAATCTGGGCAAGAGAAAATGTATTTGGGAGTTGGGAGACGACAGTCACGAGTGAATTCTTACTTTCTTACGTAAGAGCTCCTCTGGCATTTCAAATCTCCACTGGCCGGGCTATGGCGGCCAATCCCTCCAATTGCCGTTACGCAAGAACTCTTCTGGCATTTCCTCAAATCTTCCCCTTCAAGCATCCCTTCTCCTGAATTCGCCATTCCAATTCCCAGATCTATAAATTTCCCGAATTCTCTCCTTCTGCCCATCTCTCCACTCCACTGATCTTCTACTTCGAGATCTTCTTCACCTCAACCCGTAAATTACGAAGTTCTGCGTTAATCCTCGGCGTGGTCGTCTTCTAACGATGATAAATATGGTGGCGTACGGATTCTTAATTAATTGTTTCCTGATCTAGGGCGGTTGTTAAATTTCTTATTGATTCATGAAATCCTCGACCTTTCTTCCTTGTTTATGCAATCATTTGTGGTTCTGTGGATTTGAAGTCCAAACAATTGCAGGGTTTTTGATCCTTCATGTATGGATGCGATTTGATGAGCTAAATTTGAAAGAACAATTTTAAAAAACTAGGTGAGTTTTGTTTAATTTAACTGGTGTATATTAGCCCATAAATTAACACTTATGGTTTTTATATTTAGTTTATGAGTAAATGATTTCTGATTTTACTTCTGGTATTTGGTGTTTCATGTACATGTTCCAAGTTCTAACATTATTTGCCAAAAAAAAAGAAGTCGAAATTTAACCATTCTTCCAGTTGATATTTCATTAAATAAGAGCAGTTCATATATTGTCAGCCCAGTGATCTTTTAAGAATCAATGCATCTATTACTGACTTATTGCTGGATTTGCTGCAAATACCACTGGATAACAAAATATATTACTCCGCTTTTATGTCACTTGCATTTTTATGACAGTTTCATGATTAAAATGCGAGTTTCTCTCGTTCTGTCGATTCTTTTTTAGTACCTAAAATCAAGCTCTTACCGATTTAATTGCAGGGGGAGCTTTCAGATGCTATGAAGAAAAAGATTCACACAGGATAAGAAAGAAGCTTCTTGGCGAAGCCATGATAAGCATCTCTTGTCTTGGTAAGAAAATCCACACTGCTTTATTTAATAGTATGAATCATCTAGGGAGTAAATATTATTGCTTCATTAATTGAGTGGCAAAATTTATTCTTGGATTCTTATGTGATATTTATGGGAATAAGAATAAAGACTTCACAATATTTCCAAATTACGGGTGCTTATTCTTGGATTTTTATGTTTCATTTATGGGAATACAGACTTCATAATATTTTGGATCAGCTTCTTATGGTGCTTATATGTATGCTGAATTTATATATGTGCAAGTTTAATGCCCCATTCTCAATCTCTGCATCTTTCCATGACAATATTCAGCATACATCTTTTAAATACATCATTTATTGGAATACATCTTTTGAATCAACTGTACACACATGACAATATTTACTACTCACACTGCATGTGAATTCCAATTTGTATATGATATAATCTGCATTTTGTTAACCTCACCAAAAAATATTCATTCTCAATCTCTGCATCTTTTCATTGCACAATGCAGAATTCATATTTTATTCCTCTTTATGAACTTTCAATCACTATGCTCTATTAGCAACCACATGCTCGCATTCAAGGTTGGTTTCTCACTTGGCAATTGCAGTACTCAGGAATTCCATTTTCTCCGTATCATGAGATTCCCTTACAATTTATTGGTGGTTTCCGAGGTATCCCCTTTCCATCTCAAGAGGTGATCGACCATGGTCTTCATCTAAACTAAAGATAGTAATAAAACTGAGTTCAATGTATCTAGTACTTCTTAGACATGTATTGCTAGTGAATTAATAATTAATTAAAGTCTGAAGTTTTTTTAACTTTTAACATTTAACAAACTATACTGACGATGAGCTCTACTATTCATATAAAGTATTTCCAGATATTTGGTTTCTTAATTTCGATGAAAATTTTCTGAGAAAATTGGTTGTCGCCCGCGCTTGTGAAATGGGATAAATACTTGTGTGCCTTTTCCCAATCCCCATTTAGCACATGTTTCTTCTACTGTCTCATTTTTAAAAACACAAGTGTTGATTATTATTATTGATGAAATAGAAATTAAGATTGGAAGAGTCCGAGTTGTTCTTAAATGGAGATTGGGGAAAAGGCACACAAGTATGTATCCGATTTCACAAACATCGATGATAATCAGTTTTCAAGAAAATTTTCTTCCAAATTAGGATTAAGAATATTTAGAAACACTCTATATGAATACTAGAGCCCATTTCCAATATAGTTTGTTAAATGTTAATTTAGACTTTAACTAATTATTAATATCTTAGCAATACATGTCTAATGGGTATTAGATAAATTTAACTCATTTTTATTTTCAGACGAGAGCATACCAAGGCTTAATTGTAGCAAACGATTTGCAGGTGTGCTCCATTTCAATGGTAGTTTGCTCATGGAGTTGATGGATCTACTGAGTATTGACCTTTACAAGCTTCAGGTGCTATATACGTATTGTTTGCATTGAATTAAACTATGTTATACATCTTAAATCATAAGATGGATTATGTTCTAAGATAGAAATTTTCCTATATTTATTCAATGACACACAAACACCAATGTTAATTTTAATCAGAAATACATAGGAATGTCTCTGTTGACTATAAAAAGCGAACTCACGTGTAGGCTCAATGGGTAGATCACCATTCGAAGAAAAATACATGGAGCTTTGATGCAAGAAAACTCTTCTATTGTTACTTTTCCTTGTATTAAAATCATTGTTAAAATATTTTCGAATTTTAACAAAAACTTATGACAACTTTTTCTCATATGCTTTTTATACAATCACTGTTGAAGACTTGTCGTGCGGTCCAAAACAAATTAAAAATTTATAAAATATCCTTAGCTAACCCCCAATATATAATCAAATAAAAATTATAGCTAGGACAAGCAAGGGTTGATCCTACGAAGAAAGTTTGTACTTTTAAAAACCAATTAGCATGCGAACACGTTGTCACTAAATAAAACAAATTAACTACTACACACATTAGAACACTTATAAAACTTTTAATTAAATAAATATCAAACTTATAAATATAACTTATATAAAAAAGAACTTATAATACAACTTATAAACATAAAACACATACTTAGAATATACTAAAAAAGTACTCCTATAAAAACTTATATTTATAACTTATAAACAAACACTTAGAAAATAAAAACACAAAAGAAGGGGGGGGGGTTGTATTAAAAGTAAATATTTTTTTGGTTTTTATATTTTCTTATTTTTTGATTTTTTTGATAAAATGGGGAATAACGAGCTCTAAAGATATTCAACTTCTCCAACTAAGGTAACCCAAGAAATACCGCCAAGAACCCGAAACAGAATGAAAAAGAGAACAAACACGAGTTGAACATTACACGTATAATAGGCACGTAGACAATATATTACGTAACTTACGCATTTAAGAATAGAAAAAATCAATCAAAGGCCGAGTCAATTCATTTCCTTAACCACGATATGGAGGATTGTCAACTCTCCACACGGCC